TATGCAAGTCTTCAGCATGATGTTTCATCTTTATTGATTGTATTTTGCTTACTACATAATAGTATGTCACATGTAAATCAGTTTTTAATCCTATGTTTCATATTTCTTTTTAAATTTAATTAATTTTTAAAATGTATGGCACAATTGAGAGTTAGATATACAAATGGGCATTGTTCTATGCTTCATATTTCAAAAAGCTCTATCAGTTAGTTGTTTAATACCTTTAAAGATATCTGGAAAATTAATTTTCAAGAGCTCTAAGGTGTAGATAATATATTTATGTTTTAGATATTTTGCTTAATAACTGCCTCAGGATTTGAGGAAGTTCATGACTGAGTGGCCTTGTATAATATTCTTAAGTCCTGAGAGTGTGAGACTAAAACCTAGGGCTAAATAATAAAACACTTTTTTCTTCTGTGGAAAGATTGGTATGATATAGAGATTTTCACTAATTCTAAAAGAAATCATAAGTATAAATAATGCCAGTTAAAACTCCTGTTCTGGGGTCATTCTAAACTAGATTGTGCTTTTCTTTTTATAAAATGTATGCCCTTGGACACGTTCCTTAACCATGTTGAATTTAGTTCCTCATCTAAAAGTGGCGATAATACTTTTTTCCTCAAAGCAAAAATAATTTTTTAAAAAAGAGAGATTAGTTTCAGGTTTATTTAATAAGCTTACTAACGTCACCTCAGGAAGGTCAAAGAGACTGGCAAGTTGCACATTTCAGCTTTCCCTAGCAATTTTGAGAGGGTAATTGTAAAGACTAAAAAAAGGCAAGTCACAGAGATTTCTTTGTTCTCTTCACTGCTTAAACTAAGGATGGGAGAAGACAAAATCCACAAGCTTCCTCTAGGGGCAGAAAAGAGTCTCTCTCATATTTCACAGTGGATTGACAAACGTGTTTCCAATGGTAATGATGGTTTTGGTTGAAGGATGTAATGATCAAACAGGGAAAGACAGTGGGACTGGCCAAAGAAGAAAAATGAATTTATCTAATATTAACAAGGGTAGAGGGAAAAGAGTTTAGTCTGTAATCCATCCAGCATTATTTTCTTCTTATTTAATCTGTTACATGTAAATGGATGTAAGTAAAAACCTCCAATTATCACAAGACACCATGTTTACCTTAGTGTCTTGGAGGACAAGTTCTGTGTCTAGCACACATTTATAAAACATACCATGGAATGAATAGATTGTTAAACAAATGAGCATTATCCTACTAATATTGCTAATATCAGTAGACTAAATAGCATACATAGTAGAATAGTTAGAAAAGGAATCACAATAAATGACTCTTGATGAAAGAGGGACATAGCTCTGAAACAAATGAATTAATGTACCTGCAATAAGACTATTGAGAGACCATAATGAGCCATGTGAGATCACAATTGCATCCCTGTAGGTGTTTAATCAATAATGGATAATAACACAAATGAATTGAAAACTGAGCAGTTTAGAATAAATAGAATTTGATGAATACAGCCAATTTAGTGTATACCATTTCATATTTTTAACATGTCAAAAATAGATATAGCCGGGCGTGGTAGTGTGCGCCTGTAGTTCCAGCTACTTGGAAGGCCGAGGCAGAAGGATCGCCGGAGACCAGCAGGTCGAGGCTGCAGTGGCCAGGAGCAGCCACTGCACTCCAGTCTGGGTGACAGAGTGAGACACCAACTCAAAAAAAAAAAAAGAAAAAGAAAAAGAAATAGATAGTACAAAAAGAAATCTAATCTGGCTAAAGACAATTCAGTTTAGGTCTATTTTTTCTTTCTTTTTTTTTTTTTTTAGTTGGAGTCTCACTCTTATTGTCTAGGCTGGAGTGTAGTGGCACGCTTATGGCCACTGCAGTCTCAACCTGCTGGGCTTAGGCGATCCTTTTGCCTCAGTCTTCCAAATAGCTGGAACTACAGATGCATGCCACCATGCCCGGCTAGTTTTTGTGATTTATTGTAGATATGAGGTCTCATCAAGTTGCCCAGGCTAGTCTCGAAAGCTTGAATCTATTAAATATTCTTATGCACGCAATTGTTTTGACTCACAAAAATTCATCATTTGAAAATTGTCCACTCTTGTATTTTATTAGATTAAGAATAGCATGTGTATACTGTATTACTCACAAATGCTTAAGACACATTCTGACTAATTTTGAGTATTATAACCTCCAAGAAAATTTTTTTAAAAGTTGAAACTTTTATTATTGCAAATGTAGTCAATCTTGCTTATTTAGCAATATTGTTGTTAGTAATGTCCAGATGCTCACAAGTCTACTGAATTGCTGGAGCACAACACAGCTGGTTGGTTATTTTGGCTGTCTTAATGCTTTCCCTTGAAATGTGGCATTCAGCTAATTATATGACTAAATATTTGACTCAACCACAGAGTAGTTGATTTACTGGTCACAAGTAGACATAGGGTTACGTTTTCTTTCCAAGAAAAGTGTATATGAATTTTCTCCCAGAGAAATGAATAAGCTGGACTCCTAGAGTCAAAATGGGTTATATTTTATGATGTGTCTTTATGTTTTTATTTTGAATTCCTCAATTACTATCCCTCACCAAGTCTGATTGGACTATGCTTGGGTCCGTCCTTATGGCTCTTCAAGTGGATGTATTGTTATTCAATCTCCTGTTGCTCTTTTATTTAGTGCCATACCCATTTAGTATCTTTAATTGCATCAAACATGTGGGCTTATTTCCTAGATCAAAATTATTCTCCACAAATATTTGTATTCTATCAGCTTCTTTTACTTTTAAAGTAGAAAGTATTCATATTTCAACACTCAGCTTTAACTGGTGAACATCTTACTACCTTTTCAGACGGGCATGGTCAGACAACCAAGAGTGAGTTTGGCAAACATGGATAAGTGGTGGAACTTTTAAATATATGGCAAGACAAAACTTTTAGTTAGGCTGATGAAGTGCTTTCCTGAAAATATAATTTAGCATAATATACACTTTTTGCTTTTAAAAAATTGGGTTGTTTTTGATCATTTGCACTATAATAGAGAAAATTAAGTATAAATATTATTCTTCTCTGATGGGAATTCTCTAAAAGAATTTATTGAGGAATAGTTACAGCAGAAAGATATGCCTGAAGCCATCTCCACTGACAGGAGCATGTTAACTGTAATGTTAACAAGTGTTCTATCTATTTTACCTGAAGGAGAAATGTCACTAATAATGATGTTCATGATGCATTGCTCTCCTCAGTACCCAAACTGATGTTATAATTAGCTTGATTAGGATTTTATATTACCTGTAATATCTGTGTGAAGCACATTTTAGGAGTTTAAAAAATTATAAAGTCTTCCATTAGTTCCATGACAAGATATTTACTTTGGCTTATGTTCATGTGCAGCAAATTTTCAGGCGAGTCCTATTCCTAATATTCTTACCATGATATGAATGAATATCTTAGAGGTATGAATCATGGATAGAAACAAATACTCTATTATATAATATAGTGGGTGTAATTAAAATACATAATTGAAAACATTATCTTTAATCTATAATTTGCAGATAATACTATGTATTAATATTTTTTCTCAGTATCTCACCCTAAATAACATAGTATTTGAGATGAAATATACTTGTAGTGTCGCTTAATGTTGTCAGAGATTGAGGAAGTAATAAGATATTAATTAAGAGAAATAAGGAAGGATATGCAAGCCAGTATTTTTAATATCAGAACACACACTTTGTTTTTTAATTAAAATTTAACTTGAGAATTCAATTAATACAGAGAATGCACATGGAAGAGAAATGTAAGAAACTCTTATAATGTAGCCAAACCTGTCAAAATGCAGAAACTGAAAATCAGTTTATCCCCCCAAAGCTGATAAAAGGAAAGGAAATAAGAAATTATATTTTTAATGTGTGTGTATTTTCATGAGTAGACTAAATCGATTTCAATAACTTTTTTCCAAATACTTTTTAATTAAAAATCTGTTTTTGCATTGATCAACTGACTAAATCTTATCTTTTAAAGTAAATTAAAAATAAGTTTTTTTTGTTTAAAGTAGTTATTTTCGGAATCAAGTAGCTACAGATCTATGTGACAAAATCAAAGAAGCATATCAAATTGGTTAAAGACTAAACGTAAGGTGCTTTCCAAAGATTTGTTCTAATATAAAAATGGAATTAGTTTACATGAATAAAATCAAAACCAAGCTCTTTTCAAGAACTTATATCTTCAGTGGAGAAACCTAAATAATATATTCTGTCTGTTCCCTACATGTGCATTCTCTAGGCATCATATGGTATAACAGGGAAAACAGGTATTTTGAGGATGTCCTCAAAAAAACAGTAAGGGTAATATTTGATCTTATTAAAGACTTTTCTGCATTATTTAAATCTCAGAAAATGGCATTCAATATGTTATCTCCATTTTTCTTGTTTTTCTTCTCCATTTAAGCCTCTAGAAGGCAATTGTAAATACGCTTGTGGAAAGTACTGTAAAGAATTGCATTTTTTACCTAACTTCAGTGTACAAGAAAAGTCAACTTTATTTCCTTAGGTTTATGAATTTGTTGAAATGACTTAAGCTTGATAAGTGCAGATTGGAATATCAAGTTCAATGTGTTTTACTTACTTATAAAACAGCATATGGTTTAAATTACCTAGTGCATGGTGACAGAGCCCTTGTGAATTTACTATCATAAACTCATTTATTATACATTTTTATCATGTGGTTTTAGGAAGATAATAGCAAAGAGAATTCTCAGACAACACATTAAATTAATAACAGTGACAATTTGAACCCTATACTAGGAGTGTTCACTTTTATTGAAAGCAATATTTCTACATGTGCGATAACTTACTGAAAAATGTAATTTTACCATGCTGATTATCTTTTGGTTTTGGCTTTGTTTTGTTTTCATCTGGAAAAAAGAAAAGCAAAACCATGTTCATTCCTCATTCTTCTTTTCATGCACACCATTTTATGAGTGAATGTTTCATATTTATTTTTCATTTTCCCATTAATTTTTTCCTCTTCAGGTGTAATCTAGCTCCTGTGGTGGAGTTTGCTGCAGATGTGGGAACTAAATCAGATTTTATTACCATGAATCCATCAGTTGTACAAAGAGCATTTGGAGGCTTTCGGAATGAGAGTGACAGAGAAAAATTTGTGCATAGACTTTCCATGCTGAATGACAGTGTCCTTTGGATTCCTGCTTTCATGGTCAAAGGAGGAGAGAAGCACGTGGAGTGGGTTAATGCACTAATCCTTAAGAATAAACTGAAAGTACGAACTGCCTATCCATCACTGAGACTTATTCATGCTGTCAGAGGGTAAGTGACTGGAAAGGACTGGTCTGTCCTTGACACAATGGAACACACATAACTAAATATTTTCCCTAGACAGGAAGGAGATTCAGCAAAATCTCCAAATGGATATGCATTTCCATTATTTTGTAATGATTATTCACAAACTTGAGTTTTGCTTATGTATTATTTTAAGTCACCCTCTTTCTTGAAAAAGCAAATTGTTAAACTTGGCACTTGTCTATGTTTGCTCATGAAGAAACTTCTAATTTTTATTGTTTTGTGCTAAAGAGTGTAATTGGAATCAAAACAAAATTGATATGTTTTGGGTAAGTAAACTATAACAGAAGTGCTAAATGGCTAGTGAGCAATATTGTGTAAGCATAAATGTTAGATATATTTAAAGATCAATTAAGTCCCATCTGTAGCCAAGAGGCCTACTAGTGAGAGAGGAAGCTGGCTGAGATAAAATGCCTTAATGCTTACCTCGAAAGTCACAGATGCTGCTTTTGTGAATTAAGCCATCGTTTCCCTTTTATTAACATGAATCAAAAGGAAAAAAGAAATAAACTTTTGCTTAAAAATGGCAAATGGCAAATGACCAATAGGTTGGATTTACTCATGCACACGTAAGTGTGCAAATTAGATAACTCACAGATATGCAGTTATGTATATTTATTGTATGTGTACTGACTGTCAAATACTGTAGTTATAAAAATGAAGAACTGATCACTAACTTTAAAAATGCACAGGATTTATGATGGAAACAGAGGCATATACAATTCGCTAGTGGGATAATAAGAGAGTATATTGTCAGGAGTGTGTAATTTGTCCTTCAGTTTCACAAAGAAGCTTGAAAAGTGGACCCAACATTTGAAGTGGATTTTAAAAACCAAATAACAGCTGTCTGGTGTGGGGAGGGGTGTTGAGAAAGAATAAGAAAACCAAACAGAAGAAAATGCTATTGCATTATTAGAGGAAACTGGGACAAGGAAATGATCAAGTATACAGTGAAAGTGTAGAATAATGGAGTTTGTTTTTGAGCATTGGAATACAAAATTGGGAAAGTAACAAGATCTGGTTGGGAAGGAAAAATATTTTATCCTACGTGAAGCATAGTTAGATGTCTGAATTTGGGAGTAAATCTTGTAACTGCAGACATTTTTCTGACAAGGACATGGAAAATGCTAGAGGCACAAAAACCAATTAGGCTTTTGATTAATTTACTCTTAAGATGATAAGGATGTAGGACAGAAGCAGCAGATATGGAAAGGAAGGGCAAGTTCAGGGAACCAGTTAAATACAATGAAAAGATGTCCTTAAAAAAAAGGTTTCCAAGCCCAGAACTAAAAATAGTTTGTTTCATGTACTGTAAAAGGCATTGAGTTAAGGTGTTTTGTTTTGGTTTGTAATTGAGATAATTTCCTTCAAGGATTTACCATTTCCTGTTTAAACCTCTAGACAGTTTTTTGTATTGTATTATTCTGCACACAATGAAATTGTATTCTTATAATTAGATCATGTCTATTCAACACTCATACTCTTGGTGTTTGGCAGGAAATTTCAAAAATTAAGATAAAATACACAGATATGGAAGATAAGTAAATAAATATTGTTTATGTTTTTAAGTTACGAATATTTCTGGCAATTGCAATTTGACTCAAAAAAGTAAAAAATACATTTTAAGAAAGAGTAATTTTACAGAGAATTGTGTTTAGAACACATTTTTTTGTTTACTTTGATATATATGTTGAGTATTATCTGATTCTCAGGGAATCTTATAGACGTCATTTTCATATCTTAAACTCTCACATGTGCACGCGCGCACACACACACACACACACACACACACACACACACACACACACACACACACCAGTGATATCTGATTAAAATTTAAAAGCAAATAATCTGAAGTACTCCCTGACTACGGAAAATTAATGAGAAAATTTATGATTACACTGATTAAGTACTTTTGTTCCCTAGATTCCGGTTTATTTTAAAAATTTTTATTATAAAGATGTGGGGTTCGATTCAGGGTTAGGTATACATACGTTCATTACGCAGGTCTCCTTGTTGATAAGGTATGCCCCTCCCTCTCCTAGCAGTTTTCAACAACTACCAACCCCACCCCCCATCCCCTGACAGTTTCACACTACTGCCAATAGCTTCCTTAAAGTATTATAATTGTTCAAGGTCCGTTTATGAGTGAGAACAGATGTACTCTGTTCTTTGTTTCTGTGATTGATCACTGAGTATGATCAACTCTAAATCCATTCAAGTTGCTATTTAGTTCATATGATTGTCCTTCTTTATGGCTGCATAATGTTCCATTGTGTATATGTACCACATTTGTTTTATCCAGTCCAGTTTCAGGGAAAACATGGTTGGTTCCAAATTTTTGCTATTGTGAATAGAGCTGCAACAAACATACATGTGTGGGTATCTTTTTTTAGAATGATTTGAGTTCCTCCAGGTATATCCCCAATAGGGGAATTGCTGGATCATATGGACGGTCAATTTCTAATTTTTCCACACTGTTTTCCAAAGAGGTTGCACAAGTTTGCATTTCCACCAGCAGCGCAGAAACGTTCCTTTTTCTCTGCATCCTCACCAGCATCTGTTATTGTTTGTTTTATTAATGATAGCCATTTACTGAGGTTAGGTGGTATCTCAGTGTGGTTTTGATTTGCGTTTTCCTGATGATGAGTGAGACTGAGCACCTTTTTATGTGTCTGCTGGCTGCCTGTATATCTTCATTTGAGAAGTGGCTATTCATGTCTTTTGCCCACTTTTTAATGGAGCTGTTTGTTTTTTTTCCTTTCAGCACATTTGAGTTCCTTGTAGATCCTAGATGTTAGGCCTTTGTCAGATATATAAGGTGGCAAATATTTTTTCCCATTCTGTGGGCTGTTTCCCTGTTTTCTTGATGGATTTTTTATTTGGCAGAAGCTCATTAGTTTGATGAGATCCCACTTGTCTATCTTATTTCTTAAGTATGGGCATTTAGGGATCTGAATAGGAATTGGTTGCCAGTTGCAATTTCCTACATTTTCTAAGATTCTTAGTTTGAGGTTTTATGTTTAGGTCTTTGATCCATTTAGAGTTAATTTTTGTGTATGGTGATAGGTAGGGGTCCTGTTTCAATCTTCTGCATGTGATCAGCCAATTTTCCAGGATGATTTACTTAATAGGTTCTCCTCTCCCCAGTGGTTGTTTCTGGAGACTTTGTTAAAGATTAGTTGGTTAAGAAATTGAGACTATGTTTCTGGAATCTATATCCTGTTCCATTGATCTATGTATCTGTTCTTGTACCAATATCAGGCTGTTTTGATTACTGTAGCTTCATAGTAAAATTTGAAGTCTGGAAGTGTAATACCTCCTGCTTTGTTTCTTTTGCTAAGGATTGTTTTGGCTATTCATGGTCGTTTATGTTTCCATATGAATTTCTGTATTGGCATTTCCAGGTCTGAGAAAAATGATGTTGGTAATTTAATAGGTATTGCATTGAATCTGTAGATTGCCTTTGGTAGGATGGACATTTTAGCAACGTTGATTCTTCCTATCCATGAACATGGAATATTTTTCCATTTGTTTGTGTCTTCTTGAATTTCTTTGAGCAGTGTTTTGTAGTTCTCATTGTAAAGGTCTTTCACTTCTCTAAATGGGAAGATGTCGAGCTACTTCACTTATTTTGTGGCTATTGTGGATGGGATTGTGCTTTTAATTTGATTCTCTGCCTGCTTGTTGTTGATGTATAGGAATGCAATTGTCTTTTGCACATTTATTTTGTATCCTGAGACTTTGCCAAAATCCTTTATCAGTGCAAGCAGGTTTTTGACAGAATCTTTTGGATTTTCAAGGTATAGGATCATATCATCAGCAAAGAGGGATAAATTGACTTCCTCTTTTCCTATTTGAATACTCCAGATTTCCTTCTTTTGCTAATTGCCTAAGGTAGGACTTTCAACACAATATTGATCAAGAGGGATGAGAGTGGGCAGCCTTGTCTTGTTCTAGTTTTTAGGGGAAATGTTTTCAGTTTCTGCCTATTTAGCAATATGTTAACTGTGGGTTTATCATAGATGACACTTATTATTTTGAGGTATGTTCCTTCTATCCCTAGGTGTTTGAGGGTTTTTTTTCAAGAAGCGATGCTAGATTTTATCAAAAACTTTTTCTGAATCTAATGATTTAGTCATGTGGTTCTTGTTTTTATCTCTCTTCATGCATTTAATTACACTTATGGTCTTGAGAATGTTGAACCAGCCCTGCGTCCTGGGGATGAAGCCTACTTGGTCGTGATGGATGTATTTTGAGATGTGTTTTTGTATCTGATTTGCTAGAATGTTGCTGAGAATTTTGCATCTATGTTCATAAGGGACGTTGGCCTGCAGTTGTCTTTTTTTGTTGGATCTTTACCCGGTTTGGGTATCAATGTGATGTTGGCTCTTAGAAATGATTTGGGGAGTTCTATCTTTCTCAATTCCTTGGTATACTTTCAAAAGGATTAGTATCAGCTCCTCCTGGTAGGTTTTGTAGAATTCTGCTGGAAAGCCACCCTGCCCATAGTTTTCTTTTGTAGGTAATTTTCGTATGACAGAATCAATTTCCTGGGTTGTTGGTCTATTTAATGTCTCAATGTCTTCTTGTTTCAACCTGGGGAGGTGGTGTGATATCAGAGAGTCCTCCATTTCATTTAGGTTATCAAGTTTGTTTCCATATAGGAATACATAGTAATCTCTGAAAATCTTTTGTATTCCTTTGGGATCAGTTGTGATTTGAACTTTTGTATTTCTGGTTGTGTTTATTTGGGCTTCTCTCTTTTTCTTGGTCATTCTGGTTTAGGGTTCATGAATCTTGTTAATTCTTTATAGAACCAGCTTTTTGTTTTGCTGATGTCTTCTTTGATATTTTTGTCTTCTATGTCCCATACTTGGGCTCATATTTTGGTGATTTGGATTCTTCTGTTAAAGTCGAGTTTTGGTGGTGTTCTCTTTCCAGCTCCCTTAGGTGATTTGCTAGGTGCTC